TGAGGAATAATCGGATCCGAATTGATGCAGCTGTGGGATAATCCAAAAGAAAACGTATGGATTTCAGTTTGACCTCGTGTATCTGAACCAAATTTAATCACTTCCAAACTATAGAATGTTACCCGATATTCTGTCAGTGTTACAAGATGTTTAAAGAATTGTTAATTGTGTGTATTGCATGATGTACTCCAAGAGGATGCAGGATACAGTAGTTTCTTTTTTGCGTCATTAGTAAGAAATTCAATGTCAATGTTTTAACTATTGATTTTTAATTTGTTCTTTTTCAAACACCTACAAACATCCATATTTTATGTAATTTACCATCAAACATAATTATCATTCACACTTCTGAGAAATTGTTGTTCTAGTGAAATACAGTTGATTCCTCTTTATTCGATCAGTTTGAGTCAGACTTTTTGGTCCCATTGAGCGTGTGGTCCTGTTGAACAGAGCTCCAAATTCGAAGATGATTGATTTCTAATAACAGATGGTTAGCAGTAACATAAATTCCGTAAGAAACCATACCTTAAATATAAATTAGTTGTTGCTTCTTGCAGTAGCTATTGAATGGAAACGATTTGTAAGATACAGGAGAATCTTGCTACATTGAAAAATTTTGGACCCTAAAAAATCTTCGTTGAAATTTTTTTGAAGAAAACTAAAGTAACCTTGTGGCTATTGATCCGGTATGAAAAAAAACATCTGTCGTGACTTGTGAGCATTAATCCATTATACTGTAGCAAGATTTTTTTCTAACAAGTTTCTACTGTATATCTTGACCTTTTCCAATGAATTTAATTTTTATGAGACTGTGGGCGAGCAGTGATAAAAGCTCATCATTATTTTCGCTAGTATGGCTTGGATGCACTGAGCAAGGGATTTTGTAATGGTTATATTAGGTAAAGTAATTGTTAAAAGGTGTACGATTTTTCTTGAAAAATCAATACTTGAATCTGAAAAATTATTCACAGGTGTCATCGACGTTACTCGATGAAAATGCAACGAAAAATTATTTCAACATGCGTTTGAAATTGAATAAGGAGACACAATAAGGAGACACAGACTAGAGACTAATAAATAAAAACTTGTTCCCTATTCTCCTCAACCAACCCATTTCAAAATGCATAAGCTTTGACTTTTTGTCCAAGTGATTTGAAGTTTGATCCTATTGAGGGTGGGTTTGGATTTTGTTCCTAATATTTTGATCCCATTATTCAGCTGGTCCTATTAACCGGGGGTCCTATTCAGTGGACTCCGTTCATTTTTAATTTATAAAACCACCTGTGGCAGTGCTGCCCAACATATGACCCGCGGGCAAGATCTCACCTGCTGAGATACTTAATTGGTCCTTCAGGGTCTTCCCTGCCATTTTCAAGGTGGCATCCACTTATCTGAATGCAGGTGTATTAAAAGACGAATTTGAAAATGTTTGAAATCTTGTGACAATTCTGCACGGCTATGTGTGATTCCATGCGTTTAACTGAATTGAATTCGAAACTTTTCATTTAAAGGGGAATTTTGAGTCTTAAATGAATTTGCCCTGGATAAACTCCTCACAAACCTCTGAATAAATGACCGACGGTATATTGAACTTTATACAGTGCTGTACTGTACAGGACTGTATATGAAACATGGTCTTATGTGGCCCTCGAGGACACTCCAATTCTGCAATGTGGCCCTTGGCCGCAAAAAATTGTGTTAATGTGGCCATTGGCTAAATCTGAGTTGGACAGCACTGATCTATGGATTGTTTATTTTATGTTTCAAAAAGCACAAATCATATTAAAATTGCATCTTTATTTGAGTTCTTATTCACTTTCGAAATTACTCTGATTGATAACCCGCTTCAACATTTTTCATCCGACATCTTATGTTCTAGATCATGCTTTGCGGATTTATCCTGTTTCCTGCTGCCTCACCCTGGACTCAGAGTTGCCACCGACCCGAAATTCGACGGGAAACTCGCCGACATTGAGGACCTCTTTACCAAGTTCATCGGAGAACTAATACCATCCTTTCTGGCGCCAGATAAGCTGGTGATCAAGGAAATCGGAGGACAGAAAGTTACCTGTAGAGATCTCGTGCAGTATTTCAAGAGCTACGTCGAGATATACAAGGGTGGCTCTTTGCCAGAGCCGAAGACTATGTTGGAAGCCACAGCAGAAGCCAACAACTTGTCTGCCGTGTCTTCTGGCCGAGACGCGTATTCCGCCTTGATGGAAAACGTTTGCGGAGGCGACAGTCCGTATTTGAGCACGAACGACCTGAACGACGAACACCAGAGAATCAAGGCCAGAGCCTTGGACGTATTCTCAAACACGCCGAAAATGGGCGGCGAAGAGTACTCGGAAATTTACCAACAAAAGCTGGAACAGGAACTGGAAGACCTTTACGTGAAATACAAGGCGCAGAATGAGAGCAAGAACATTTTCAAGGCGGCCAAGACTCCCGCAGTGTTGTTCACTGTGTTATTGGTGATGTATTTGACGTCGGGAGTATTTCAGTTGATTGGACTCACGTTGCCGGCGTTTGCTTGCAATTTGGCGATGTTGGCTGCTTTTGCATCGCTCATTGTGTGGGCATATTCACGATACACTGGAGAAGGCAGACAGTTCGGGATTTACATCGACGGGATTGCGGAGTTGTTGTGGAAGAACATGTTGAAGCCGGCGAGCGAGAAAGTGGTACAAAATGGGGCACAAAAGGCGGCGTTGGTGTCGATGGGGAATGTGCTGAAGGAAACTGTGGCGAAAGCCTCGGGGGATCGGAAGACTCGCTGAAAAAAATCGTGCTTCTTGTTTTTTTTTCCGCGACGAAACCCATGCGATACGAGGGAAGCTCTCGATTAGTTTCCCTGTCCAGTGATACTTTTTTTTTGTCGAAGTGTTGCGAGTGCCAATTTTTTGTTTCGAGGTCTTCTCGGGGTTCTTCCCACTTCGGCGGAACGTGCATCATTTTCCCTGAGAAGTGTATTGTACGATTCTTACGGTTGCAAGTGTGGCTTTAATGTGCATGATTAACGGCTTTTTGTCCTCTTTTGCTTCGTGTGAATGTGTTGGGTCGATGGGGAAAGGGTCTCTGGAAATTTTTCGCGATTGCGAATTATCCGTTGTCGTGTTTGAATGACCGTGATTGACTGTTTGCGAAGGGGGATCTGGAGAAATACTGTGAGTCATCAACTAATCCGCAAGTGAACGTGGATGAAACAGGCTGATATTTTAATATTAATTTTTTTTTTTGAAACGTGGAGAACGTAATTACGTGAATATAAGCCCCCTTTTTTCGAATTTTAGAAGCCCAAAAACTAGGTGTTTTTGTTCGCATATGTGTGCAATTTTCCCAAAATGGGTCTATATCAGTGAAACTTATTTGCGGCCCGCGAAACAATCAAGCTCTTCAGTTCTTCTGGAATTGAAGTTAAACTCAACCAAGAAATGGTCAGCTTTTTCACTTGAAGATGCATGAGTTGATGACTGAAAGAGCAAGGGTTGTGTTGTACCTTTTTTCTGTTTTCTGGTGAAAACCAAAATTTAATAACAAATTTAGGTTCCAGGAAAGTTACTGAAGACCTACATTCGCCTTTCAATGGAACTTGAATGTTTTTTTTAAATGAAATATCGAGTGTGCGCTTATATTTGCGTAAATACGGTACAGTGTAATTACTGTACTTTTTGCGTTAAGTATGTTTGCGTAAGTTCCATCAACAGGCGAATGTAGGTCTTCTATAACTTTCTTGGAACTGTTAGAATTTTTCTTGAAACTTCGCCACGTCTTATCCCGAGGTTCTCAACCTTGTTCTTTGCCAACTGCATTTACTCCTCTAGAGTGAGCGAATTGTGTGTGTGAAGTTTAAATTTTTTGGGCTCTCTTTTCGTAAAATGATGGAACCACCTTTGCTCAGCTAACTTGCGAAATCATTTTTTCCATGTTCTGAATTGTATGGGATTCCAATTTTTTTTCCTTCTCCATGCTTTCAATGAACTGCTTAGATTCGTTGGTGATTCGCAAAACTTCTGAGAAAACCCTCGTGTCTATTCCTGATAACAATCTTTTGTGTTTCAATTTCGCCTGAAACGGTGGAGCAGATGCGTATTGTTTCGTGAGTATTCGGATCCAGAATCGTGCGTCATCTCAAGTCATTGGTTAGTGATGGTTTTTATTTTTAACATCAAATTAATTTGTTGGAGTGGGAAGAACCTTTCCCAGTGGTTTGATCGCAGGCTTCGCCTTGTGTTTTTTTCCCGAGCTAAGCGGATTGTCGAAGATTATTCCAGCTAGGTTATTGGTTGCCATAGGTCACCGGTGTTGAGAGAAGGAGTTCGTGGGTTTGCTTTGGCCACGCGAGCCTTATTTAGTCCCCCCCAACGGGTTGAAAACACGGCCATGTTTTTTGAGCGATCTGTGGAGCGCGAATTTTTTTATTGTCCTGTATTTTATCTTGAACTACTTGATATATTGTGGGTGCCTTTTTTGTTGTTTTTTTTTCGTAGGGTGAGGGAAAGGGGGATGGATTTCTGAACCTGTGAAAAAATTCGTACCTGCCTGCCGAAATTAATAGCTTCTTTCAATGCGTGAGCGTCGGAAAGGTCTTCGGTGATCTCATTTAAAACGATGTTTAAATGTAACGCACCCAGAAATTCTTCATTTTATTGTGTGGATGTCGCCTGAACTTTCTCACGTCTTGTTTCAATCCGCAGTTTGAATTCGTTTTAACGAATAATCGATCACTACGAAGTTGTTTTTTTAGGTCCCTGTCCCATAGGCCATAGCCACAATTTTAAAACTTACTTTTCAAGTAATCTTGCGTTACGGCGAAGCTATTTCTTTTGTACTGGTGGCTTCTTTGTAACGAGATTTTACTGTATTATCGAAGTTTGCTTGGATATTTTATGCTTAGATTTTTTATTTTTCAGTGAATTGTTTGTTTTTAATCAGTATTAAGCAGGCCTTAAAGGTTGAATTTTCTTCGTTATAAATTTGTCCTCTGAATAATTTGATAAATTTCGTGTTTCTTTTGGTCTAAATGTGGACGACCGCCAAGACCTTTCCCGTTTTTCGCTCGCTCAGTTTTGCGTTATTAAATATTTTAGTGTTGATATTTTCTTAATGTGCGTAGCGTGTATTCTTGCAGACGCGTTCTTCATAACATCGGCGAAGAATGGATAACGATTTAGGTTGTCCGCAAGTGAAAAAAAGCAAGTTTGACAATAACCCGTTGGAAGAATTCCGGGTGAAAGAGGTATGATGAAAATCCTGCTGATGGTAAATGCGCAAAATTTTTATGCAGTTTTTTCTTTCTTTTTTCTTTTCAGGCACCTGCTACTGCGTTTTACTTCCCGAATTATTTAACGCAAGACGAACATGACGCTCTGTTGCAGAATGTGTACGACAGTCCGAAACCCAGATGGAAGCAAATGAGCAACAGGCGGTTGCAGAATTGGGGTGGTTACCCGCATCCGAAAGGAATGGTTTCAGAGGATTTGCCCAAGGTAACACGCGAGACTTTTTATTTTTCATACTTTATTTTCTTTCAAAATCATCGTTTCAATGGTTGTTTTGTTTTTTTCGTCGTTAGTCGAGAAATCGCCGCTTCTTGACAAGAAATTTGTCCGGTAATTCCATGGCTGAATCGATCAGTGGTACAATAATTCGAGTGAAGTCATGTCGATTTATCAAAAAGGAAGTCTTATTCAACGATTATGAGCAAAATAATTGAAGGGAAATTTATTATTCAGTCAAATTTTTCAACTTTTTGGGGTAGTTTTGAATCTTCGGTGGTATACTTGTGAAGTTGAAGTTGTCGAGGGCGAATCGCGCGAAGAAAAAATAATTGGCACACAAACTCGTTCTAACTTTTCTGTGCGTAAATTTAAATTCCGAAGCGAGGGATTTTTTTTTAACTTGACAGCTCATTCAATTGAAAACTGAAGTACATTTGGTAATTTGTGAGAAACATGTCCTACATAATACTAGGGTGGATAAACGCCGATTGCGTATTCTTCATTTTTTTTTATGTTAATTTTCCATCAACTTTAGCTGAAATATGACAGCCTTGGGGTATTTTTCTCTAGTACACGTGAAACTCTATTGCAGTGGTTGAGTGATGAATGCGAAAAGCTGCTGAAATCCGAAGTTACGGAAGGAAAGAAGCCCAATCATGTGCTTGTTAACGAATATGAACCCGGTCAAGGATTACTGGTACGTTTGTATAGATTTCGTGTCAAATTTTAACAATTTTTAAACGACGCCTCGTATTATTTTTAGCCTCACTTGGACGGTCCTCTGTTTTATCCCGTGATTTGCACCATTAATCTCGGTGGGCCCGCATTGCTCCAGTTCTACAAGGAACAAAATTTGGATAAATCAGTTGGGGGTTTGTTGCTGGAACCCAGGAGTTTAGTCGTTTTAAAAGACAGTTTATATACTGAGTTTCATCACGGGATCGAAGCCACACGTGCTGATGTGATGATGAATGTGTGGAACCTGGGTTCAACTACATTCAAGGACGAGAAGATTGAAATTGTCGAACGGAATTCCACCCGGGTTTCCTTGACAATACGCCACGTGCCCAAAGTGCTGAACGTCAAGCTTGTTGGCGGTCGATTCGTGAACCTGTGATGATTATGGTGGAAATAATTATTCGAATCTGTTTTTGATCAGTGTATGTGTGGTTTTTCGTTTTGTTTTGCAGAATGTTTGAAAGAGCCTCGGTCGAGAATGATTTCGGCGTGCGGTTATTTTCAGCGATCATCCCCGCGTTCTTGCCTCTCATGCACATTTGGCTCACAGTGAAGTTTGTGTGGCCTGAGCACGTTCTTGAGATCGATAAGAATGATTGCTCATGTTCTTGTTGGGATACGGCTTTCAAAGGCAAGTTTTTTTCGGCTATTCTAAAAGAATGGTTTTTTTTTTTTACATTTGGTGATATTTATAGGGAGTCCAAAAAGTTACTGTGCCGTGAGAAATTTTCGAAGATATTTTTTCTGCGCTGTCCCTTCAGAAGGCGGGTTTTTTGTTTAGTGTGGGTAGATGTCACCGGCAGTCGGGGTTGTGTTTCAACCCTGAACTGTGTCATAAACGATGTGATGTTTTTTTTCGCAGTTCGTTCTGCATGCACGTGATGAGTAGTTTATGATTTGCTTTGAGTTTTTATGAAATAATAGCCAATTTCTGCCTTACGCAGGAATTGAAAGTTTTTCTTCTTTTTAGCCTTGTCGTCTAGTTTGAGGATTCCAATGCACTTCTGCATGCGTTTCACCCAAGATTAGAAGCACTAAAAATGCCAACTTTTCCACAGCACAACTTTTTGGACGCTGTATGGAGTGCACCTTGAAAAAATGGATGTAAGTTGCAACCGTTGTCCACGCACAAAAGTTCATTGTTGATTTAGTTTTGGGCTGCTTCTTTGTCTAATATATTTGGTTAGTAGGCCTGCCGTTCCATTCACAGAGTGTCTTGATTGAATGAAGTTGGCCCTTAGGGAACCTATAATTCAGTTTTTAAATTTTCATCCAAGAAAGCTGAAGGTTTCTTGGATGGTTGAGCCATGAGATAGCAAGTATTGAAAAGCGGGGTGGTGAAGAAAAATGTTTGATCATGAGAAAATTGCAATTAAAGCTTGAGTGGGAAACAATTGATGTTCCTGCAACGTTCTATTTCCGGTACTGCGCAGTCAAACCTTGATTTATTTTCATCAATTTTTTCTGGCACTAAATTAAGGTTATTAAATAAGTTTATCTGCAGACGTGTTTGGCCACCGAGTCGGTTTTTTCGAGAAAGAGCCACAAAAAATAATGCGAAGCTCAAGTGTACTGTTTATATACTGCATTTCAATATATTTACCATGTGGGAATAAAGTACCTGTGGATTCTTGAGCATGCCGTGTCTAGGAAAAGAGCAGATCTTTTCCTAAAGGTTTTTTTGGCTGAGTTTCATAGCAGGTTCCATAATGCAGGAATCACCAATATTTCCGGGGAATTTTCCTTTTCATCCGTAAAGTTTGCAACAAAGGAAAATTGTGGCGACAGAACTATTTTTAACGATCGGAATTCAGAAAAGCAGTGCTCAAAATTTTCCGGAGCTTTTATATGGGCATGGGCACGTGATCCTAATAATGAACCACTCCTTAATTTATTTAATTTTCGCCCATTATTTCATCTTGGAGTATGCATTTTTTGTTGGGCTAATAAGTGAGTTACTTAATAACGGTTTTGTTTGAGAACACAATCGAGAGAGAATTTTTCCATGAAAATGTTGTAGCCCTGCGTGGCGCTGGAACTAAATCATGGGTTGACTGTATTTTACCCGTTTTTCTATGAATTTGAATTTCTTACGCGGTTGAACCGTGATAACTCAAACATCCCTGAATCGAATTTGTTAAATGTGATTGTTTTTGAAGGATGTACAGTAATTGTGTTGCTTCAAATGTTCTAGCGAGGTTGCGTTGGTAGCGGTTGTACGAAATCCGGGATGAGCTTCGTTGTGGGATCGGTATTCTAACAACAATCATTAGTTTTACCGTATTGCATAGAGTATATCCATTTTAGTCCTCACATTTTTCCCCACAGGATCGTACGAATTGAACCACAATTTGTACAAGCATTTCTACTTCAACGCGACCAGTAACTCCGCCGTCGTGTGGCTCCTAATTGTGATCGGTGTGATACTGTGCTACGAAAGTGCGAAGTTCGCGTTCAGTCTCTTAGCCCTGGGCTCGTGCCGATTGTTCTTCCTCATCTCCTTCGTTGTCTCCATCTACTCGCACTACTACGCCTGGTGGATGTTTGTGAATGCCGCGAATGACGAGTTTTACTCGCAGCTCGGTCATCAGACCGTGTTTGCACTCACGGAAGTGCTCGTCACTCGAGACACTTTGTTGTGTATGGACTCGAGACGGGGTTTGGAGCCGGCGAGACTGTTGAGGATCCTCGTGTTGGCTGCTTCGCACATCGTGTGTAGCTTTAGGGACCAGTTTGTGGCTAATGTGGTTTTGCAGGAAGGTGCGGCGCATCAGGTTCTGCGGGATCTCGGGTTCTTTGCGGCGGATGTGTACAATGTGTGTGTGGCGATCGGGGGGTTCCGGGTGTTGAGCAAGAGCATCGGGGCGCCTTCGTACACGCTCATTTCGGATCAGGTGTTTTTTCGTCACATGTGCTTTTTTGTTGGCATTATTGTGTTTTACTTTGTGTGGTGAAGAGTTTTTGTTTTTTTATTGCTGTCTTGCTTGCTACAGCATCAGACGTGTAAGAAACAAAAGACAAAAAATAACGTGGGTGCTGCGATGTCTCGGTTAACGGACTTGATCTGCGTCTCTAGGAACGCCTATTATTCGAAAAGTTGGTTAAAAGAGTGGTGTGAAGGTTTAAGTGTATTGCAGTAGTTGATTCATTCGAACAGGAATTGATTTCCTTTTGTTACGCTGTCCAGTGTTCCTCTGACCCAAAAATCGTAATTATGACTTAATTTCCTTGCGAAATATTCATTTTTTGTTGTTGTTTTAATAGCGCGTAAAAAAAACTTGTACTGTACATGTGTCCGGCTTTTTGTACCAATGCCAACATGGGTGCTTTTGGATTTTTCAATCTGAACTTTATTGGCTTTTAAGTGAAAGGCTTTTCTCGAGATTCTCAACGTGTTCGATTTTATTCTAATTTTACAGTTTTATTGTTGAGGTGTTCCTTTACTGAATGTTGAATGCTTCAGACATAATTTTCCGAATCTGAATTTCTCATGAAACTAAAATTGGACGATCAAACGCGGTTTTCTTTCATTTATGACAAGTCTTGTTTCTGGAATTGAAATGTTTCCATTATTTTTTGCTGGAATGCATCGTAAATGGTTTGGAATTTGTTATATAGTCCTTTCGTAGGATTTGATTCTGATGAGGGTTCTACGAAACTAGAATGTTGGCTGTTGGAATTTTTCGAGCGTGTGGGAAGCGCATAATATTACGAACATCTTTTTGTATGTTCGCGAGGAGTAATGAACAGGAGTGCAACTTATTGTAAGTGAATGTCCGGAAATCAAATACAATACCAGCATTGCATGAAGAGGTTCACCAGTAGTGAAAAAAATCGTGGAATCGGATGGTGCAATGTCAGTGAGCTGTGGGTGTTGGATTGCTTGTTTTGGTTGGATAGAAAGATGTCTTTTTTTCTAGAGCAATATGCTGTGAAATTTACCGTTTTTATGCTGCATCCGTGATGGAGGTTAGGTCTCAGTCGAAAGTGGTCTTCCGATGTCTCGCCACGCGTTAGGTTGGTGATTTCAAAAGTGAGAGGATTTTTTTTTTATCGCGAAATTTACGAGGGCTCTTGGCAACGTTTTGTCGATGACATTAAATAATTCAACGCACCTTTTTTTTCAATCTCGGAAAAGGTTTTTTCTCTTGTGCCACATTATTATTAAAATTTCACTTGAATGCTTTTCAGTTACTGGCTGACTTCAAATTTTACGAAGCATTTTTTTCGCAAAGGCTGGTGCAATTTGGACTTCGTGGAAATGATTGTGAACTCCCAACGGATTAAATTCTCTTTGAGCTCTGCTTTTTTTCAATTTCAATTCAGATGAAATTGGGACAGTGGAAAAAATGAATTTCGTTCACTCCCTCCATCTTGGGTACTTCCACTAATGAGAACGCTGAGATGACAAAACTTATGAAACAGCCCTCGTAGGTTATGCGATACCCGGCTTGGGTTTGCGTTGTGGAGAATATTTATGGGTGAAACCTGTGTGGTCAATCCTGCTGAGTAAAATACCTCGGTGTGTTATTCGCTTGAATCGAGAAAGTTGTGAAAAGAAAAGTGTTCAAATTTTTTGGATGTTTTAGAAATTTTTGCGTGTAATTTATTGGATCTTGATTAAGCATGATTTCTTCTTGGATCTTTGAATCACGAGCAAGCGTTGAACTCGTTTAAAAAATGTTTGTCGACTGATTTTTCTAATCGTGTGATCTTCAATAAGAAGGAAATACTGTATTCATCACCAAAATTGTTTGTATGTGAGGTGGAGAAATTTCTTTTTTGTGACACATGACTTCGTGGGTTTTGATCTGCTGGAATGTTTTTACGTTTTTTTATTGAACTTTCGAGAACCCGTTATTTTATTGTGGAAATTCGCTTCATGTTTTTCATTCATTTGCCAATTTGTTTGAAATATTTTAGACATGTCCATTTCATTTTACGATTTTTTTCAAGAATGTTTATTCTCCTACCTCTTTACGACCGGTTTCCTGCTTTTGCAGACTTATGAAATTGTGCATGCTGGTGCTGGGATGAATTAGATTTGCGCGTATCCGCTCGGCTTACGCAGGTGATTCTTTTTCAAGTCGGCTTTTTCTTGTTCATAATGAAGATCTTGTGATAATTTTATTATTTTTCTTCTCTAATCAGATCCCAGAAGAAGCGTAGAAAGTGCCAAGGCTTCTTTCGTGATTTTTCAAAATATAAATATTACCTACGACGTGCTGTTTTGTGCCTTTTTATCGCGAAAAGTATGGCGTCATCGAACGCTTTGAGTGACTGCACGAATGCCGTCCAGAACAGTGCTAATTCTGAGAAAGCTGGTGGTGTAACGTGAGTTGTCTCATTTTGTTGCCTCTTCACATTTTTCTCGTTCGTGCAAATCCTGTTTATTTGCTTAAATTTCCAGCTCATTGATGTCCTTTGATATGCATGATAGTCGCAATTCATTTTTTTTATTATGTGAGGATTTAGTGTGTGTTGGATTAGCTATTCAGGCGACACCTAGATGACGTTATAGGAAAAATGGTCAGCCCTTTATTTACTCTTGTACTGTACTTCTTGTTGCTGTCTTCATTTTTATTTGAGGTCACATAGATGTCGCCTGAAAAGTACCTCAGTTTATTGTGTTTTATTTTATTCGGCTAGCTTGGATTATTCTTTCAGGGCTTTCAAACTAAACTTGAATGACATTCAAGGGAAAACTGAAAATTGATCCATGTTATATCAAATCGTAAGAATTTGCTTGTTCGTTGTACAGGAAACAGAAATGGAGTTTGGCGGATTTTGAGATCGGTTCCAAACTTGGCAAAGGAAAATTTGGAACCGTTTTGGTGGCTCGGGAAAAGAAGTCCAAGTTCATTGTGGCCCTGAAGGTGCTGGTGAAGAAGGAGCTGGAAATTCACGATGCTTCGCATCAGCTGATGAGAGAAATCGAAATTCAAGCGCATATTCGGTAAATTACTTGGTGGAATTGAATTTTTATCAGATGTTTTTAAAATTGCTTGTTCCAGGCATAAAAACGTGGTTCGACTCTACGGGTATTTCTGGGATGATGTTCGCGTCTACCTGATCCTGGAATATTGTCCAAAGGACCTCTTTACCGTGATACAGGAGCAGCCTGAAAAGAGGTTCACTGAAGACAAGTGCGTATTTATTTTGTTTCCTTTCACTGTGAAAATTCGGTGTTCTTCACGGTTTCAAAAAAAATTTTTCCAGGGCTGCCTCGTATATTCATCAGTTGGCTGATGCTTTGATCTACTGTCATGGCAAGAATGTGATTCACAGAGACATCAAGCCTGAAAACATTTTCCTGAGTGTGAGACAACAGTTGAAGTTGGGTGATTTTGGCTGGGCTGTACATTCCCCATTGTCCAAGTGAGTTTCTTTTATTGATTCAGTACTTGGAACTAATGCAGAGTACTTCTCTGCTGGGATATTTTTGATGAATCAATTCGTATTTTTGTTTTGAACTTGGGTGAAATTTTTCTTGATTAATCAGATTCAGATCTGATTTATTCAATATTTTTTTGAATATTCACCATGTCGCCTGCATTTCACTAAACTTCAAGGGAGAATACCAGCTGTTAAATTTCTCTCGAAACGTTGCTAAGTGGCCGGTTTTGGACTTCAAAGCTTGAAATACAGTGGGACCCCAAAATGCGGACGTAATTGGTGCATGGACCTTGTTCCTAAGTCGGAATGTCCGCATTTCAGACCCTGTTTTCCCATATACCGTATTTACTTGAGTACCACGCGCACCTTTTTTCTCAAATTTCAGAAGAAAAAAAGGGCGCGTGTCATAATCAGGTATAAATTTTTCAAAAAGTTTTAGGAAGTTGTGTGTGCATTATACTTAACTATAATGGAGAAATTTGGAACAAATGTACCAAGAAAACTTGTTTATACTGAAAAAGTTGAAAATTGATCAGATTTTTATTCAATTTATGTCTAAAGTCAAAATTGGGGTGCTGTGTGCGCCTTACTTGAGGGCGCATGGTACTCAAGTAAATATGGTACTTCAATAGGAATATTTTTAATTGGTTCCCCTGTAGATCAATAATTCAGAATAGGTTCCCCAAAAATTCAATAAAATATTTTTTCCCAACTTTAAAATACAGAAAATATGATATGCAGAAGAAAGCCAAACAGAATCTGATGTTTTGGTATCAGAAGGAGCTCAAGAAGCAAAGAACAAGTCTTGCAATACCAAACACACACATGATGGGAAAAAGCACAAAATTATCCTACTTTTATAGGAATTGGGATAATTTTGTACTGAAATCTTATTTTTAGCAGTTATAAGTATAAATAACTCAATTTCTTCACAAAATACAAAAATCAAGAAAAATGAAATTTCTTAAATTCTTGCAGAAATCTTGTGAAGTGGCCATATCTCAAGTCACTGTCCAGATGTTGGGTGCAGATTTCATCAGTTCCAAGTGTCCCTGAGTTGAATTGTTCATATTTTGGGGTCTCACTGTACACAAATTTCTGGAATCAATTTAAGTTTGTTCATCATTCTAAAATTAATCCATGTCCAAACCATCTCACTGCCAGTGACATCTACCCACTCTGAAAGCAATTATAGCAGTTGCGGCTGTCTGAAGTCGAAATTGCAGTATTATTAATGTACGGTACGTGGATTCCAGGATGTCTAGTCGTCATTCAGGTTATCTTTCTCGCAAGATCTACGATACGTCTGGATGTAACCACGCGGACTTTTTTCAATTTTCAGGAGAATGACTCTTTGCGGTACTCCGGATTACCTTCCGCCGGAAATGCTTCGACAACAACCTCACGATGAGAAGGTCGATATATGGAGTGTTGGCGTTTTGTGCTTCGAACTTCTTGCCGGTTTTGCCCCATTCACCCGGAAAGCACAGGAGGATACGTACAGATCCATTGTTCACGGAAGATACTCATTCCCAAGCTTCTTTCCTGTCGGTCCCCAGGATCTTATAAAAAAGGTGGTGAATCCTGATGCCTTTTTATTTTTTTCTTAGATCCCCTAATGCTGGAATCCTGCGCTAGCTTTATGGAAAAAACTGATGTGGGAAATTTACTGTAAAGATTTTTGATTTATGATTGTCCAATTTCATGTTGCCAAAAAATTCCATGAATATTCGGCGTGATTCAATTTGAAACTGTTGATGAAAAGGTTTTTGGTGAAGATTTTTTTTTTTCGCTTTTATGTTTGATCATACAAAATTCAGTTACGGTACTTGATATGATAAACATTTCATAAGGTATATAGGTATGCAATATTTGAGTCCCTGTGAGTGAGCTTTACCTCAAAATAATTTCCTCTTGATGAAAGTATTTCTGAGTTTCCCTACTGTTCTTTTTTATTCTTTCAATTCGTTAAATTGGTGATGAAATGACGAAAGTAAACTGACCAAACCAAACTGAAAATGTTTAGCAATTTGGTTGCTGTATTCTTCGTCTCGTAGACGTTGACGAGGAATGGGTCATTTGAACTGAATCAGAGCCGAATTTTTGTTTGAAAAGGGATATGCGAATTTTCGTTTCAGTTGCTTGTCGTCAATCCTGCCGGACGAATATCACTGCCAGAAGTTCAAACGCACCCGTGGATCGTCGAGACTTTGGCTAGCGCCGCCAAATGATTTTTGCTTGGCATTTTTTTTTTCAGGATTGATGTGTGGACATTTTGATGTAGGATCTAATTTTTGAATGAGATTGAGCACGAGGCTCTTCTTGAGCAGTGGTGGCACGTTGCAGAGGATGGGAGTCTTGGAGTCGATGATTTTGTACCAACTTATTTTTTCACGCTCTCGTCTTTCGTACTTTTGACATGCTGTAGCTTTTTTTTTTCTCCCTGTCAAAAAACGCTGATCTTTTGACCTGTAATATCGCATGCAAAATTAAACGTGATTTTTTTGCGCCAAATTGTGATTATGTAATTTTTAATGTAGCAATATAAGTATGGTGCTTATGCGTTTTTATCCGTGTGAGCAGATGAGTGTCGCAACTGTGCAGGAAACAGCCAATGCGATTTGCCTGAAGGGCTCCACCGAGATTTTGGCGGAATATTTTGGTGAGAACTGATCATCTCTTGATGAACTGCTGTCTTGCTATCTTGTATTCAGGGTACAGTTGAACTTTAAGAGACCAAAAAAATGCTGTTTAAAGAAAAGAGTATTTTTTTGGAAGAAAGAAAAATTACGGGAAATTATAATTGTGAGATTTGGGGCCTTAGATTGCTTCTAAAATGAGTTGGCAGGATGCTGAAGTTGGAGAAAAGGGTATATTTGTTTGATTACTCTTGCACCTCCTTTCAAAATGCATCAATTTACATTTTTCTTACTTTTATCTTTTCTGTGTCGATAAAATAATATCCAAATGGCTTCCAGAAAATTCAAGTCATGGAGGTTTGAGGAGGAAAGCCTTTGAGGGAGGTTTTTTTTTTTTAAACGGAATTTAGACATGGACCTGTAAAAATTCGATGTACGGAGGTTCGAGTCATCGAGGATGAACTGTAGTGTACTTCCATTTCCGCAAAAACTCGTTGAAAATTATTTTTATTTCTGAAATCCACAGTTATAGTATATTTTATCTCAAGAGGGCGAGTTCTCATTTCTGCTGAAAATCGTCCGATATGTAATCCATTGTGAAAATTGAGCAACGCTACTCCCTTTGCTGTATTTTTTTTTTTTTTTAATTTTCAACAACTATTTTTTTCTCACTGCAGTATTTCATGTGACGTATCTTTCCACTCTTACGGTTCACAAATTTTGGATTGTGTTAAATTTTAGAATATGCGGTTCACACCATCATCTACCAACGCGGAATTTACCCTTCGGAAACCTTCGAGCGTCAGCAAAAGTATGGATTGACGTTGTTCGTCAGTACTGACGCAAGTATCAAAGAATTCGTCGAAATCTCTGTTCGTCAAGCGAAGGGTATGTTCAAGACCGCCAATTATTTTAGTATTGAATCATTTGTATTTTGATTTTGTGTTTCAGAATGGATTCAGAAGAGTCTCGTTAAGGATCTTTCGCTTCTCATGATGGATGCTCATTCCCACGAAGTTCTGGAAAGGTGGAACTTCAGGATTATCGAATGCGAGGACGAGAAATCCGGAGTGGATGAAAAGCATGTTTATCTTTTATCAAGTGCTTTGGTGAAGGAATTTATTGAATCGATCTTTTTTCAGAGGCGAAAAGCGAAGTAAGAAACCGTTGAAAACGATCCAAGCTGAAATCGGAGCTGTTCTGCGCCAGATTACAAGTGCAATATCGTTTCTTCCGCTGCTCGACCGTCGATGTGAGAAATTTTTTCAAGTGATTGAAGACTTCTTGTCGTGATCCTCGTCATAATAAACATGATTTATTTGTTTTCTAGGCATTTTTGATGTTCAGTTCGTGCTAAAGTCGTCTGTGGAATCAGAAAACATTCCTCCAGCGTGGGAAGAGCTGCAGACAAAAGCCATGCCCGCAAATCCGCAAACGGTTCCGTTCAGATCGTTTTCCACCGGACTTCATCAGGTGGATAGTGGCGTATCTTATAAACTGGAAGAGGAAAAATCTGTGATGAATTAGTATTGCATTTTCACCTTTTGTGTGAGCTTTTCTCATTCAGAATCGGGGGATTCTTTCTCCATGATGTGGTCTTGAAGGCTACGGATGTGGTGCGGGTTTTTAAGCATTTGTATATTTTTCATACTGTATTGCGCGGGATTGCTCTTATGTGCGTTGTGAAGCTATGTATTTAATCGGCTTTTTGTTCTCCCGTCTTGTATTCTTGACGAGAAATATAAGATCAAATGAAGCAGCCATGAACTATTAGTTCAGAGAATTTTTTGGTCCTGATATACTATGGATGTGTTGGTGCAATAAGTATGGTTCATTTGTGATCTGCTAACAAACTTGATATGTTCCCGAGCCAAGTTTGTTGAGTGAATCTTTTTTGGCAATTCTATGCACTCTGAAAGAATTATTCAAAATGTTAGTCTTAGTTATGGTACACAAGATAGATTTTGTAAGATTTGCCTGAGGTTAAAGTTGATCAGAAGTGAACTGTATGGAGCTTCGCTAGAAACCCTACCCTTCTAATGCATTGAGTCCTCTCTTATATCAAATTAAAAGGGACTAGCAAAAAAGTTGAAAGAGGGTTGAATTACGAAAACCAAGGCTGATGATTCTTGGACTCAAAAAGTTGATTTAGAGGGGGTTTTAGGTAGTGAGGCCCAACTGTATTTTAAGACTTGCAAGAATGGAAACTTGATTCTCAGAAGGAAATCTTCCTTCTGTGGCCAGGTTTCAAACAGGTTCCCTCTATTCTCATTAAACAATATACGGCAATTACTAATTGGAAGGGTTTCATCCCAAATTCTGCGCCCACTATTGGAATGACCAGCAAATGCAAGGGGGCGATCGTGTTTTCCCAGAGCAGGAAGGCAACCTATCCAACCAGGTATTGAGTCCAAGAGGACAAATTATTTTGGGAATATGCTTTAATTTTTAGATCCAGATAAACTGGCAGATTTTAATTATCATCAATTTGATTGATTCGATTAAATACCGTACTCTTGAAATCACTTTGAAGATCACTGTGTCGAAAATAGAGACGACTGTTGGAAACAAAATACTATAGGTCTCATGTGGACAGTTTTCAGTGTTGGATGCATTATACTGTACTTCAAGACAGTACAGTATTAATACCTCTCAAAAGCCGGAAACGTGCTTTGTGGAATGCGCGGTAATCCGTGAATGTGCGTTCCCGTTCGTGTTTGTCCTCTTCGTGATCATGAGTCATCGTGAATGGGTCTGTTTAGTTGCCGTCAGGGTATCTGCATGGACCCCTTTCCGTTGGTTGCAAGTGCGAACTTGCGATGCGCGGGAAAACTTACGGAAAGTAATTATTCCCTGAGTGTGTTCTCGATCATGCGGTGCCCATGAAGATTTTCCTAGCATTCTGATTTATTCGTTTTGAATGCTGTTCTAGCTCTTCAAAATTTACCAGGAGATGAAGAAAGATCGGCACACAAGTGCCGAAAGTTCCACTTTTGAGTGATTGCAACTTTCGTGGGACGAGGTGTTATCAGATGATCCTGGTAAGTATGTGTACGTTAAATATTCGTCTAATCCGCAGAGAGAATCGGTGTGAGTGAATGAAGTGGGAGAAGATGTGAGTTTGTATCCTCGGCGATGGCTCCAACCCGTCAGCCGTGTTCAGAACTCGAGAATTTCTCAAGTAGTTTTGTGTCGAACGTGATCTGCAACCGCAGTGAGCCAGTTTTTGACAGTCACATGGATGATGACTGTTCTGCCGAAGGAGCCACCGGGAAGCTTTGGTGGACAAATTTCTCTTTCGGCGAAAATTACGACCCGGAAGATGATTTCGCCGATAAGACGGGTCAAATGGAGCCGATCCTCGCGTCCGTCGAGGAGAGTCTTTACGAGCCAAGAACGCCTCTTTGCAGAAATTTTAAAGCTGTGAAGCAGCATTTCGTGGATGTGGATTGTGATCCAATTCTCGGTGCTAGTGGAGCTTCGCTAAGTCCCTCCTTGCCATCTCTTGACTCCATGAACAAGTTTTCGGATTCAACCACGTTTTCGAATGATCTCTTCTTCGCGTCGTATGACGTGGAGGAAACTGAGATTTTTGGCGAGGAAATGACTGAGTCGCTTTGCGGATTAGCTGTCTGTTATGCTCCGGAGGCGGATGGAAAACCGGAGAAACCGAGGGAAACTGGTGAAAGAAAATTGAGAAGGAAGCGCAAATCATCTCGTCCTAAATATCTGTCTGATCAAGAAGAAAGTGATGATGATCGTGACTTCGATTGGAATTCGCGTCCTCAGCGGCGGCCAAAGAAAAGACCTTCATGGATGAGAACTTTCATTGGCAATGATCTGAGGAATAGAAGTTTGAAGTCGCGACGTACCCGGTCGAAATCCTTTCGTGAATCTCGGGTATTAGATCTTACTCCTCGTGCGAGGAATCGAAGAAGACTGAAACACTCCATGGAATCAGTTCGCTGCTCAGTTTGTGATATCAAACTGGAATCCGATGTCGCACTTGAAGCGCATTTGAACGTCTCTTGTCGGAAGACTGTTGGATGTCGAGTAGTTTTGCAGAGACAACTAGCATATTTGGATATAAAATTCCCATCGCTACGAATCCGGTTGTCGAGATGCGATTCCCTCGTTCGAAAATTCCTTGAACCATCTTCGGACGCAGACGATGCGAAAATGTTGGATTCTTCTTCTGTCAGGGATGGTTCAGAAATTGAAATTGATTCGAAGGAAGGCGACGCCAATACAGAAGAGTACGAAGCTGCGTTGGTTTACCAAACGTTCAGAGAGCAAGAATTGCAAGGATTCGATGACCGTGATTTTCTCCGCGAGTCTAGGCCGGGATTTCCTCTCGACAAAGGTATATCTCGGGAAAATCTTACAAGAATAGCTTCATACAAACCGGCCTCCTTAGACGAGCATTCCAAATCTGTGGTAACTCGAAATCGGCTGTTGGAAAAATTACGAGAATACTGGGATCCGTATGGATGCAACGATGAGGATATAGAAGATGGTATCGATTACACCAAGCTTGATAGCTCAACTTCGCGACGTGCTCCAAAGGAAAGCATCCGACTTCCATCCCCTGAGTATTCTTGCAGTATATTCGCCGATCAAGTCACTGAGAATCCTTTGTGTTCATCGTGTTTCAGCAGAGGCATTTGCGACGAAGACTTCGTTGCTTGTTACGTGTGTTGTCAGTCTTTTCACTGGTTTTGTGCTAAATGGCGTCTCACTAGGGAAGAAAGATCATGTGGAAATTTTGTATGTCCGAATTGCGTCATCTGCTGCGCTTGTGAGACGCGAGGAGGTGTTGAATTTTCCTGCAGCTCTTGTCAAAAGAACTATCACAGGGATTGTTGCGGGATTCATTCTCCGGAGTTGTTGTATGACGAAAACGGTTGGCGATGTATCGATTGCTCCGTTTGTGGAGCCTGTGGAGGAGCTTCAGGAAAACCTGCAGAGTTTGTTGTTGAACAAAGGCAGTATGTGTGTGAGAATTGCATGGAATTGTCGAAGAATGCGTCGCTGTGTCGTGTCTGCTTGAAGGCTGACGATGAGGCCCGAGCGTATTTTGACATGACGAGAGATTCTGCGATAGTTGCTGCGAAGGAGTCTCATGAAGTGCTGGTTTGCTGGACTTGTAAAGGAAAGGTTCATCGTTCGTGCGAATCTCTGTGTGAAGATGAAATGCTGGTGCTTTTAGGTGATCCTGAAATCAAGTGAGTTGTTGCTTCATTCCTCAAATGCTAATTAGAAATGCAGGATTGGTCAAGAAAAATAATTTCTCTTCATGATTTCTGAAGCCTTTCCTGAATTTATAGTATCTTCGCTGGAATTTACGATTTTAGTAGGTCAAAACGGGGGAACAGGAAATTTCAAAGAAAACTTGTCATTCTCAGTTCTTCAGACGACCGTTTTACTTTTTTAAAAGGTAGTTGTTTGTGACGAGGATTCGCTCGAAGTTCGTCTATGTTCGACGGGACTTTATTTCGATTGAAGGAAATAAGTGGAGGTTTAGGTTTGCTGTGATTGAGTACAGGATTTTTCTCAAGTATAGTGGGTAATCTACCTCAGTGTTCCCCAAGCCGTATGGGCCCGCGGACCGGCTTCCAAAAAAAGATTTTAAGAACAGAGGAAATTCCCAAAAAGTTTTCTGCGTACCACCAAAGTTTCATACATTTTTTTGCTGACTCGAAAAGCTTTGATTGAAAGACTTCATGGTAGGTATTCGGAAGTTTCCGTTTTTTTTTTTATTTATAAGTTAAACCCCAATGAAGCAGCTATAGCTGAATGTCATGAAAAAATGAGAAAGGTAGGCTTGAAGAAAGGTTTCTCATAATGAAAAATCAAAATAATTTATTTCAGCGAATGAAAATTTGTCTGAAGTGCTATTAGGAGAGAAGCCAATCTTTATTTTTCATTGGATAATTTCAACTGCCAGTGTCTTTCCATGATTTTAGATGATCATACACTTCATTGCTGCTTTTTATAAATTTATTATGCTGAAAATTTTCCGCGGAATGGTAGGCAAACTTCTGCGGACCTGCACCAGTCCAAAGACCACGGGTTGGGGAAATAGTGATTCTACCTGGTTGATTCTTTGTGCAGGTTCCTCCAGTTTCGTTCTTCGTTTTTATTCTCTTTACTATTCACCTTCATTTGACAGATTTGAATGCTCATGTTGCCTGATCGATTCTTGGCTGGTGTCGGCGAAGCGAGTTGTTCGTTCTGGGATAGAGTTTTCCGAAATTCTCCGCGACTTCAAGGAGTGCATATCTTGCGATTCGCTACTTCCAGAGAAAACGAGATCAGGAACGTATCCATTCCCAACCTGGCGAACAGATTTGAAAAGAGCAATGAAAGAACACTTCCGACGATGCGTGGAAGCTTTCAAGGTTAGTCTTTGACAATACGTGTAGTCTAGTTAGGTTCGATTTTTTCTTTAGAAGTTCGGTCAATTCTTTCAGAAATGTGACTCGAAGAAATATGGAGCTGCGTGGTCGCGGACTGTCGCTGCTATGGACAAGCTTCAAAATCGGGAAAATATTTCGGTGGATAGTTTTTTCGCGGACTGGTTTGCGATTGCTGAACAAGCCGGCATTCCAGAGGATGCTCATCTGAAGATTTTGAAAAACTGGTTCCCATGGACAGTCCATCAGTTGAGTAAAGAACGGAATCAAGGCCAAGGAATTGCGAACCCGATCCCGTGTCCGTTGATGAACCCAATCCCGTATCTCTCTGCCGAACACGATTACTGGATTCAAAGTGGACCTCGGCAAGAGCTGACTGCACGAAATTTTGCTGAGAATCATTCGAGTGAGTATTTGTTGTAGTCTTGTCGCTTGGGTGTGAAATTCAAAGCTGTCTTTTTATTTATTTTTCTTGCATTTTCCACGTGAACAGGTTGCATCTGACAGCTCTAATTATGAATTTAACAATTGAAATTCACCCAGAAACGAAATTTGCCTGAATACCAACTAGGGTTGTTGTACTGAAGCAAGTGAGATGAGGATGAAAACTTACAAATTTTTTTTTGAGAAATAGCAGCCCTTTTGAAGTTCATCTTTTTTTTGGCTCAACGAAGATTCTGATTCATGCATTATTTTTCCCATGCCACGAACGTTTCTCGCATCGAACCGCTTTTTTTTTTAACGAAAAGGTTCGTTGTATGAGGCACAGCTGCATCGAGATTATCGAAAAAATATTTTTGGATATTGTGCTGAGATGTTCAGTCACGCGAGTTTAACTCCGGAAATCAGGGATGCACTGCTATTTGTTCTTCTATAATTTTGAGTAATTTTGTAATTACTTTTTCTTCCAAGGCAACGATGGTGATGACGATCGAATTTGTGCCCTTTGCCATTCCGCGGGTGACAGCGAGGAGGCTGAAAGATTACTTTCCTGGGGAGGAATACCCGACATGGACGAAATCTCGCGTTGGATCCATTTGAACTGCATTTTATGGACTCCGGGAATCCGTCAAGACGTTAGCTGGAAATGCGTTACACTCACGAACGCAGAGAGTGTTTTTCGTCAAGCGTTGAGGAAGCAAATGGATTGCTGTGTGTGTTTCGAAGACCGAGCAACGTTGCGCTGCATGCATTTGGACTGTGATGCCTGGTTCCATTTCCCGTGTGGTGTCCGAGCCAAGTGTTCCTTTCTGAAGCCGGGGGTCATTTTCTGTTCCTTGCATCAATCTTCGTTGGCCAGTGTCAGAGATGGGAAACATTTTGCCGTGAAAAAATTAGTGAAGATCTCTCAGATCGACGACTCCCAAATGTTAGTTCTTGAGTCGTGAAATTTTTCTAGATCTTTATTAAGGTTTGGATTTTCCAGAGTGTGCAGAAGATGTTTTTCGATGGCTTGGTAAAACGATTTTATGGTTACCGTATTCAAATTTCTAAGAATTTAGGAACTCAAAGCAATAATTTGTTAATTTGTCTAAGATTTTCTGACTTGTGCAACTTTTTGCTCACAATTGGTTTGTTTTCTTTTCAAATGCAGTGCAGTTGTAACTAAAATTGGTGAAGGTCGAAGCTCTTTTTTTTCTATTATTATTTCTGGGATTTTGTCTGTGAAAACATGTCTGGAATATTTTTTAAAGCACCTAAATAAACAGCGAATTAATGAAAAATGCAAATATGAAAATATAAATGTCAATGATGAGTTAAGTGGTAGAAATAAAACCTGAGCGAAAACTGTTGAATAAAATAAAGACCTGGACCAAAAGTTCCAAAACCTTATGAAGAACCGCAACGAAATACGCAAATTCTAGCAATCTGAAAATATTATTCAAACTTCCATAAAAACCTGAACTGAATCCAAACCTAATGTTCAGGTGAAGTTCCGTCAAGAACTCTGTCGTGCACATAACCAAGAACTCGATTTTTGAACTAAATCATACTGTGGTGTTGTCTCATTGGTATTCCAGTTTTAATGCTATTTTTACCCTCCCCAGGGGTTCTTATTTACTCATTGGCGCAGGAAACTTGACGTTCGAAAACCGCGAACTGCGATTGAAACGCTGGTTTTGGTCCATGTTCGAGCCTTGGAAGCAGACGTTGTACACGATTACTGTTCGATCTGCACAAAGAACGAAAGATGATGATGATGATGATCGGTATCCCAACCGAAATGAAACCTTAACCTTGAACCACGATGATGAGAGGCTCGAAAGTCGTCCTGCAATTTTGACTGAAGCTTTCTCCGAGCTGAGTGTCATGGAAGGCAAGGATGCTTTGCGTGATGTTGGCTTCAGTATTATTGAGGCGTAAGTTTTGGGCTTCGGTTGACGCTTGAGTTTTTGCACGGTTTCCGACATTTATTGATTTCGCGCAGCATTTCATGAAAAAAAATCAGGGTAGGTTAATTGATTATATCTTGGCAAAAAAAAAAATTCTTGATAAATTCTTGTCTCACGCATTTTTTAAACCTTTTTCCACACACTTCATATTTCTACCACGGATAATGAATGTAAAATAAAATCACCCAGCAGTGTATCCCTCATTAACCTCTCATCCATGCTTAATTTTTGAGTTGAATGCCTTTCAAATTTTCTGCAAAGTTCCAATGCAATAAAATATTCCAAGAAATTTTCCCAAACTTTCTGCAGTGATGTCCCAGAATACTTGGGTTTTCCTAGAGGCATGAAAAGTCTAGAAAACTTGAATTTCTACTTCGAATTTTAAAAAAATTACTGCCAAAATTTGCATATATTCATGTAATTTAGTGATGATTGGTTTGAGAAGACTTGTAATTATTTGGCAAGTATAATAATCGATTATTGGGATGCCTTGTGGCGATCATTGCCAGATTCCACTAGAAAGTTCTTTGATAAATTCTCAAATCAATTGCTTGAGAAACGAAGGTCGAATGAAAATCATGAAACAACAAACAACAACGCAGAACTATAGAAACCAAGAAATATTCGAAGCAATTGAGATCAGGAAAATTTTGTCTCCAGCTGTTGAAAAAATCAAGTTGGCAGCCTTGTTAACCACGAAGAAAATCTTTGTTAATCTTCTGGGGGAAAAAAATTCGTTACGTGAGGTGCCCATTTTTCGACGTTTTAATGTGCTAAACATTTTTCAAGAGGGCTTAAAAATGATTTCAGAACATAGATGTGTCAAATCGAATTCGTAATGACTTTTCTGAAATATCTTGAATACTGTACATTTTTGATGGAAATTTTTTTTAGGTCCAGTTTCGTTGGCAATTCGAGATCCGTTCTTTTCGTCCTCACTGGCGGCCTTCTACCCGGAAAACTGTCATCCAGTATCTCTGACTCTGTGCTGGCAGATTTGGGTTTGATTCCGGACGTGGTTCGAGTCTGTTTGACGTCTGTGGATTCCGTTTTGGCAAAGAATCCCGGCGAAACCTTCTTCCGTGTCCAAGTGACCATTCGTGAGCCTGTGATAGAAGTGGCGGATGATTTGAGAATCTTGCAATTCGATGGAGCTACGGATGATCATTACGAGCAACGACGAGTTGTGCAATTTACGCCTGGTTCGGGTGTTCAAGCGTTGCAGTCGAACAACGTGATGTTCATTGATATGGTTGGTTGTATGGCTCAGCAGTCGACGAACATGATACAAACTGTTGAACAGGTTCGGAAACGATGTCATTATACTTTAGTGTAGAGTAAAATGGGGGAAAATAGGGCCCGATTTTAGAATGGTAACCTGAAGGTTTCGGAGATTCATGACTTATTTGACGAGGATGCGCATTTCGTGTTTTATAATTCAATAATTGAGTCTGAATTTAAGTTAATTTTGCTGGTTTTCTTTTATCTCCCGCAGAGATTTGTGTAAAGTTCAACTTTCACTACGATGTTTAACTTTCACTCGATTAAACGTGTGAATTCATGAAGAACGAAAATTGTATAAATGCCTTATCAATATTTTGTTGGTTATTTTGGTAGTAGGTCAACATGTGTTGCAAAAACTCTACCGTAAAAATTTGAGGCGAATTTCGGCTCAAGGAAAGGTTCAGTTCAAGTACTTTGACGATGACCTGAAGTGTTCCTGAAAATTTTGGCAGTACCTGTCTTCGGAACGCATTTCTACTTGACATACATTATCTCATCAGTCCATTTTCTACATAAATTTCACTGGGGAAAAAAGAAGATTGTTTTCTACAATGGAGTATTTTTTGAAGTAATGTAAGACATTTATTCTTTTAAGCATTGAAGCTCAGTTTAGAACAGCATCTGAATCGCCGAAACTCAAACAACTGCATTTCTTGATATGCAACTGTACTGCAGTATTTACATTTTTATCGCGTGAGATTGTTTTCATGAACGTAATGGCTGAGATGTGGGATACATTTTACGAGACGATTTTTAATAAACTGCTAATTTCGGCTTGAATTCAAGATTTTAGCATGTAATTTTTAAATTTTTTGCAGTTTTAGAACCTTGACCAGCGTTTCCGGTTCATCGTCGAAAAGTCCCTGAAAATTATAGGAGGCGGGTTGCGTTTTCAATCTCGAAGTATTCTTCAAGGAAAATGTCAGCAGAAGTTTTTGCAAGGTATTATTTTATTTTTTATTGCAGGCTCTCGGCCAACCTGCGAGGTATCTCGGAACTGTTGATCCCACTGCGTTCGTGATGCCTTCGCAGCCCCAGCCGGTATATTACGTTCAGCCGACGATTGCACCTGCTCCGATTGCCAAACCGCATTATAAAACAGTCCAGGGAACGGATGGGAATCTGTATTTGGTGACCGAGTTCTATGTGGAAATGCCTCAATCGGTCACTTACCAGGTCCGTTTTATCATTTGAATTTGACAGTATATTACGTCGCCAGGTTTGAATCATTATATCAAGAAAATCTAAATTCAACAATCACAAAATTGACGATAAACATATTTTCGGGTTGTTGGGTAAATTGTAATTTCAAGCCTATTACTGTATGAAAGGTGTTTTTAAATGGGCTGATTTTTTAGTGTTACAGAAGTATTGTACAATATAATACAGGTTCACTATCTCTACAACGATAATTCATGGGGACCAGAAAAAAATCGTTGTATGGAGAATTTTGTTGAAGAGAACCCTATGGAACCAAAAAATCGGTTTACAGAGAATGTTGTAGGAAGAGTCCACGTTTAGCGAAATCTCCTACGAGTCAAAATCATAGAGGCCCTAAGCATCTTTTGATGTGGGAATTTTAAATTCTGGGAATCAGCATTTTATGTGCTTTTTCTAAAATTTGAAATTGTATTTTTCCTTGTATAGAGAATTTCGTTTCAGAGAACCATTAGAACATGGGGAGGGGAGAGAACCCTATTTGAACTATTTTGTCCCATAAGGGTCATCTACAGTACAATTTTCCTTTCAACGAATTTTTTGTCCCCTGAAGTTCCTTGTAGAAAGAGTCGCCCTTCAATATTACAGTTTAACCTCTTCATTTCGAATTTCATCAGACAAGTAAACAAATGTAAGAGAGAATTTTCGAGTTTGGAACATCTGCATTTTTGCCGCAAATGAGAGAAGGAAGTGAAAAGTGAGAAATTGTTTTGCCCCAAAGCTGTTGCGTGAAAAAGAAATCAGGATGCTGAAATTGGTGGCAAGAGTTCATTTGCCCAATTAGTCTTTCACTTCTTTTCATTAAGTTCAGCTTTTATTGCTTTTCTCTTCCCTAATGGGGGTCACAAAAATAATTTCAAGAAGGCCTCCAGAAAATGTGAGTTCTAGAGGTTTGAGGGAGAAAACCTTTGAGTTGGGGAAGTTTTTGATGCCTTTTTTCTGAGAAAATTCAGACAGGTTCTTGGGGGAAACCTACTTTCGTTATCATGGTGAAACTGAACCATTCACCTTTTTTTTTTATTAGGTTGTCAACGTACCGCAGTCAGCACCAGTGACACCAATGTACCTGCCGACGCATAACACCTTCCAGCATGTTCCAATGGTACCGCCTATGCCCATCGTTGTCCAAGCACCGGTTCCTGCCGAAATTCCCCAGCCACCAACGATTGCCTCTGATCCAGTTTTATCGACTCAAGCCGAGTCGAAGGACGAAATCTCGACAACGAATGATGAAATTCCCGCTGATGAGTGGATTATTTCTACGAACGACGAACCTTTTCTTGAAATCGATCCGCAAGAAGTTGTGGCAAGTTGATGCGTGAATTATTATGTTTTTTTTGGCTCTTTGGAATTTCGGAAAACGTGGGGCGATCTACGGTATATGTATTTGTTTTCTTGCAGGTGGAAACCAGTTCCATGCAGATCGAGATTCCGCCGAAAGTTTCCATAGTATCCGTGGAAAAACCGAAAGAGAAATCTTTGATACTCGAAGCCACGCCCAAAGGGATCGTCAAGACGCTGCCGATCATCGACATGGTCAACCCTCCAGCTCAAAATGACGTGATGAAATCCAGGACTATTGTGGATGCAGTGATGAAACGAATCCACGCCTGCACGTCGAAATTGGCTCCAAGTGTCGAATCGACAGCGTTGGAAAAGGAGGAAAAAGTCGAAAATGATCCCCCGGGTCGAGGCAAGGTTCAAGATCGTCTGCTCAATAGCTACAGGAACTTCATGAAGCAGCGGATGGGAGATCGTCCTCGGCCCCTCTGTAGGATCATCAAGGACGAAAGGCTGTGGCAGGATGAGGAGAAACCGGAAGTGGAGCCGTCTCCCAAGGATGGGAAAGAGAACAATGCTCCTTTGATGGTGGAAATCAAGGGAGATGACGGAGTTGTTCTTCAGGTATTTAGGACGAAAGGCTGTGGCAGGATGAGGAGAAACCGGAAGTGGAGCCGTCTCCCAAGGATGGGAAAGAGAACAATGCTCCTTTGATGGTGGAAATCAAGGGAGATGACGGAGTTGTTCTTCAGGTATTTGATTTTTTCTGTGGAATTCATTAGTGGGAAACTTTTCCAAGTTCCAACAGAAGAGGGATAGAGAAAGCATTGAGAATTTTTGCTATCTAAATTCAATAAAACCTCACCTTACATGTTTTTTTTTTTTTCAAAATGTCCTTTGCAAGTCGTTTTTTTTTTGTGCTTTTGATCTTTTGAAAATCGGATAATTCCGGAGTCCAGACTCGAATTCTGGCTGTGATGCTTTTGTTCTTTGTCAGGGGAAAATTTTTCCTGAAAAACTCAAATTTGTCTCAATTTTGAAGTACCAAAACAGCGATCACAAAAGAGAGAGATTTCATGAACCAGTAATTGTATTTATGCTTCTTCAACTCGAACCTCCCCAGGACAAAAATTTTCCTCACCAAAATTTTTAAATTGTTCCTGTCCCAATTTCCTTAAACAGTTCATGCTAAATCTCCTGAACTAAAAGTCTCCTAACTGTGAACCTCGCGACCTCAACATTTTTGAAGACAATGAAGGAGAGGAAATTGTTAATGGTAATGATTTAGGAAAGGAAATGAGTAACTGTAATTGTCACATAAAATTTGTATTACTGTATAAGTTTTGTATGCTGCAGACTCGTGCAATTTTGTTCCTGGCACTTTCCATTTTCTTAATGAAGCGAAGAATTGAAGCATTTTTTGAACCGACATTTTTCAGCCTCGATATTTTATTCGCAAAATTATAGTAAACAATTGTAGCTGTACTTTCCGTAACTGAAAATCTCTCCAATTTCATTTTTTGCTCCCTTTGAATTTGACTGTATCAATAGCAAGAAAACTTGACGTAAGATTTTGAGACTTGCTGTTTTATTAGATGAGATGCTAATTTTTTTTACTTGCCAATTTAATATACATTACAGTGCAGTACTAGTATCTCGTTACAACGAAGCATTTGGGACCTCTAAAAAACTTCCTCATGAAAAAAATTCATGGAAATGAAGTTAAAATAACATTGTGAATATATTCGACAGAGACCGAAGAAAAATGAATTCGTTGTAAGCATTAATTCGTTACGAGATTTACTCTACTGGTTCCCTTGGATAATCTCTTCTCTGTGAGACATGTTTCTCTGAAGAGCATCAAGTGTATTGCGTGTTTTATCTGATATTAAATCAATTCGAATTTCTATTTAAGGGATCGTCAATTGAAGAAGTTTGGGGATGTCTCGTGGATGCAGTCCAGAAGTCCCGTGAACGATTTGGAATGCCGATTCTTCCTCGTGATTCGCTTACGAAG